ATCAAATTTATATTTGAAATAACTTTAAATTTGTTATAATAATCAATTTGTAAATAAGTTTCAACAAAACTTACATGGTATCCCCATCCATGTAACTTATTTAATTATTCAAATCACAAAAAGTTATATAAAGTTATAAACAATACTAACCAAAAATATTCAAATTATGTGCGACTAAAAAACTAAACAAAACATTTCATATTAACAATACGAATTACATATTTTTAAAAATAATTTTCAATTAATTTTTATAATATAAATAATATTTAAATTTTAATTATTAATATTTAATGTTACTTATTTAGCTATTTAATTATATAACATAAAACTAAATTTTTATCTATTTTTTAATTATAACTAATGTATTATGAATTTGTAAATATAATTTTATAATATCAATTTTATATATAATTTATACTTGTAAGTTAGACCTATATATATAATTTATTAAATTTATATATTTATATATGAACTAAATTTATAATAAAAGAGAATTACAATCAATGATTGAGATATTGATACTTAAATTTAAATGTAGTAATTAATTTATAATTCAATTTATAACATAAATTAATAATTAATTATATTTAAATTTAAGATTATGGAATATATTATTATTTTTAAATTTATTTATTTTTAGTCCTAAAATTATATTATTCATAACTTTTACATCATTATCTTATCATTTAAATATTTTTAATATTTATTACGCCTAGATTCAATCATGATCAAACCATTGAACCTTGAACCTCTCTTTTTCCAATTTTTAAAATCTTGATTTTTACAATTATTATACTCTTTCTATTTTCTTTTTGGAAATATTTTATTTTGAACAACACATTTCCATATCAATTTTTTGGAAGTATGTTAGTGCCTCATAACTCAAAATTATTATAATTTCATAAATTTTCATATAAATACCTTAAAACTTATCTTCAAAAATTATAAAATATCATCATAACTTTTTTTAATCATTTATATAAAAATAAAGAAATATTTAATAATTTCAAATTTATAACTATATATTTTAGTTAGATGTTTTCAAATTTTCATGTTTTATCTTCAATTTTTTAAAAAATTTAGAACGTCAAATTTCATATAAATTCTAGACAATAAATGAATTTATCCATAAGATGATTTGCAAATAAAATTTCATGTGTCAAAGAAAACCATAGTCATAAAAGTCGAATCGAACGTTCGGTTCGACCACCGATTCTAATGCGAACCAGTCAAAATGTTGGTCCAATCTAACTTAAGAACTAGCTTTGCACACTGACAAAAACAGTCAGTTCAATGGCTGAAATGATCCCAATTTTATAAAACCAACTGATTCAAATTTTATTTTTTTAAATAATTAAACAGAGTAAATTAATATTGAATACAATATTAAACTTAATAAATTAATATAAATATAATATATTAAAACTTTTAAATGAGTATTAAGTACATGTAATTAATACTATCTATAGCATTCAAACCAAGGTTTTGAAAATCAGATGAACTTAAAGGAGAGGTTCAATGTTATTTAAAAAATAATCACTTTGCATTTCTTCTACTTTGCTTGAATTTATGAAATAATTTTGTATCAAAGAATTTGAAATGATTGACCATTACTATTTTGACATTCATTAAGCATCAAAATAGAATAATATTGCAGCATAACAAAATTGTATTGACCACGACATAGATCTATAAGATTGATTTGCTTCAATAGTAGCATGATTTCATATTAGGTGGGCATCAACAAAGTCTACAAAACATAAACAAATAACGTATAACACAAATGTAGCATCAATTAAGTTTAAAAAATTAAACAAATATTTCACAAATAACTTGAGCAGAATTTATAACTAATCTAATCAATTGAAACTTGAAAGTAACTAATAGCAACAGCACCACCAAACGACACTCTACTCCAAGTTCACACACGAGGTAGTCCGGCCATCCTGTGGCTCGCGGTTCTCACACAGGATGACCAAACAATATTGCATTGAGCGAGAAATACGTACCTATTATCGAGCCTCTATTGTGTGTTGGGAATTGAGGAATACATACCATTTTCAGTTCTTTTTCTCAAATATGTGAATGCAGCAAAGACAATCATCATTTTATTGTGAAAATAGCCAACTTATGGTAGGATAAGTTGGACATAAATAAAGAGCTAAGCGCAAACAAAATCAAACTCTTCTCCTAGTACATATCAAAGAAACATCTAAATAACTATCTTCTTGTTCAAAACAAATCAAAGCAGATTCTCTATTACTAAACAAAATCAAATGATCCAATCTACATGCATTCAATCTTCTAGTTAATCTTTTTAAAAAATCAAAAACAAAATGAGGGCTTACCACTTATGAGTCCTGCTCCAAGCAAAAAGGAAGGAATGGCAGAAAGAAAGTATGGATCAGTGCTTTTGCTTGGAGGAGCTTCACCGTATGATTGTAGCAGCTCCTCAAGCTAACAAACGCAATAGGAATGTCGAGCAAAGGTACCAGAGCAGGCCTACAATCGAACTTCAAACGAACAAAATAAGGGTTGGTTTAGAATTACGAATTTAGTTTATTTTTTTTTTAGGTTGATTTGGATTGCGTGATCATAATCCGCCAGTTCAAATTAATTCCTAAACCGGACGGTTTTGGAAAACTGAAGTCGATTCGATGGTTTGACTGCCGGTTCGCACAATTCTTGACCAGTTTGATGCTTTTTGAGTTGTGTGATCAAATCGGCCAGTCATCCAATTCTTGATTCAACCTGTTGAATTGATCGGTCTAGTTCGATTTTATTAACCATAATTCAAACAGTCTCATATGGCTCCAATACTCCATATGAATTCCTATTATTTGCAACAACATAAAACTATATAATTTATATATAGTGAAACCAAGATTTTCAGAACCGGACCGGACCGGCCGGTTCGAACGGTTCAACCGCGAACCGGTCCGGCGGGCGGTCCGGGGAGAAGGAATAACCGGCTGATTCAAGAACCGGGCACTTATGTCCAGGAGGGGCAATTGGCCCCCTCAAAAAAAAAAATATATTTATTATATGATTCTTTAAGTAATTTGTCCCTAAATCTATATTATAGTCTTTATTATAAAGGTTTTAAGACAATTGCCCCCCCCCCCCCCCTAAAGTTTTAAAATATTATGGTCTTTAGACGATTGCCCCCAATATAATTAAACACATTATGTATATGTATTATTGTCAGGTAATGATGAACCATATACAAAGAGAAATAGTAAATCCGGAGACGCTGCCCCTTGACCCCGCAATCTGACTGGGCAAGTCAAACCCTGCTAGGGGACGCTGCCTCCTTGGAACCCCGATATATTTGCCAACAGTTAATTATAAGTTTGCCACCCCCCTTGAAAATAATAGCTGGTTCCACCCTTGCTACCTATGTATAAAATGATCATTATGGGAACATGCGGACTAAGAAATAACTCATCTTATTCTGTTGATTGAAAACTTTGACTACTAACCAAGAGATCTTAATAACTCAAATATCAACAGAGAGAGAGAGAGAGAGAGAGAGAGAGAGAGAGAGAACATGCCGAGCATCTTGAATTATTCAAGGAACAATCTGGTCTGGCTTGTTAAAAACACAATGTGATGTTTAATTTAAATTGTTTATTAAGAATTTACTTTCTAATTCATTTCTCTCAAAGATTTACTACATAGGCAATATGCTTTTTGAGCCGTTCATGAGATTATCTTGCCTTGTCTCGATTAAATTCTTGTGCAGGTTAAGAATAGATGCTTCATATATTGAAGCAGATGATTGAGCACTAGGAAAGTTCTTTATAACTGCTGCACCATTATTACTGGCACTAAACTGCGTACCAGTTCCATGAGAAGAAAGAATTCGACCTATCATTTACTTAAGTATCTTGTTTCAGAGATTGTTGAGAATGCATACGCACATGAAGATTGTTGAGAATGCATACGCAGATGAAGATTTCCCTTTATAAAACCTGATCACGCTATCTGCACAACAAAATGTAGGACAAATAATAGATGAAATCAGCAGAAATCTAATAAGAAGAGTATACTGAACTGGAGAACAAAGAAAAGTATACTTATTAACATATCTGCTACAGAACAAAGAAAAGTATACTGATTAACATATCTGCTACAGAACAAAGAAAAGTATACTGATTAACTTGACAAGAGAAAACAGCTCATGCCCGACTCAGGCCAAAATCATATCTTGTTGAAGAAACATCTCAACGGGACGTGATGAATTGTGATGCTGTTGGCGATAAAAGGCTGAGACCAATAACATATAATGAAGAATACTTCACTAGAGAAGGTAACGACAAGAATTTGCTGGAAATGGCATCATCAAGACCAGCAACATGTGATAAAGAGAAATAGTTTGTTTGAGAATCTAACAGAAGTTTATTGAAAAAGCATCATCGAGACCAACGACTTGTACTGAAGAGTTCACTAGAAGAACATTGGGAGTTTACTGGAGAAGGCCATATTAGGACTAGCAGCATGTGAGATAGAAATCCCCTCAAAAGATTTAAGTAGTGCTCAAGGGTTCACAAACCTAGTTTGTTGCCACGTAGGACTAGCATCTTATTTAGATCAAATGGTGGAGCACAAAAATTGGGATTTAAAATTTGAGTTTAATCCAAGCCAACTTATGAGCCAACGAGCCAAGTCATGTCGAGCTTGCGCTCAAGCTTGTGTAATATATGAGTTCAAATCAAAAGCATGTGTGCCAATAAGCTCGACTTGCGAGATAGATGATGTATTTGAACACAAACTAAAGAAAAAAAAGAAATTCCAAGAATTAGTTGATAGATGATTGAGAAAGTACCAGTTTTACAACCAGCAGCCTGTTTAGCTTTCATTCATGATTTGCCACTGGCTTTGAGGATTTACTGACCATAGGTATCCGTTCTGGCTGTCAATAATAAGACTGATGACATTATACTAGCTTCAAGAAATCAGAAAGCAGAAGTCTTTAAAAAAACTATATGCACCAACCCTGGCAACGGAGAGAACGATAATTTCTTCTATATTAAATTTTGCAGCTCGTACAAGTAAGTGCTCAGATGAATCAAAGGAACAGTTCAAGATTTTAAAAACTGCTATCAGGACCAGTCTTAAAGCGTTTAATAGAATTCATGAGATCAACAACTGAGGAGAGTGGTCGAGGAACTGGGACATTCATGGACCTGTATAGCCTCCTCAAATTTGCATTTATATTCTTAGATGACCCTATATAACTTTTGTCACTCTCACTAGAAGCATCATCATCTTTTAAGTATTCAAATTTTGGCACTGTAGCATCAGAAACCTTCGTTGAAGCAATATCTACCAAGCATATTTGTTCATCAACTCTCGCAAATTGCTCAGGAGCATGATTCACGTTGTTAGGTATGTATTGGGTAGCACCATCTCTCCATTTCTTCATATTTGGCTCAACCAGGGTATTCTGAAATAATAATTCATGTTCTTGTGTTCTTGTAGATTCAATTGCATCCATACGCCCCAGACTAATAGAAGATTCATGGACATCTACAACCTCTTGCGTAGACACAAGTGAGATATTCTCAGTATTCTCTGAACAGTGCTTCTTCTCTTCCTGTAAGATATTAATATGCTGGTCTTCAAGTCTAGCTCTCCCAAATAATGTAATGGGTACAGCAACGGGTGTTGTAGATAAATCCAATTTAAGTTCAAGATGATCTATTGAAATCTCTTTTAGATTCACAATGCTGAATTTTGTAGAAGCCTGCGAAACTTCAGTAATGGCAGCATTAATGTTCCCCGGGAACATTGAATTGGTGGAAGCTGAAAAAGTAGCAGAGTTACCACTAGTACCGTAAAAAAGCTTCCAGATAGGATCATCAGGAGCTATTCGAGTTTTGAAACAATGTTTTTTGACGTAATCAAGCTCCATGGCTCGACAAGGTGGCGTTGTTGAAATGACCCACTTGGGCTGGAGAACTTGCAAAGCCCATTCAAGCTCTTCTCGGGAAGAGTGCATTGAGTAGCACACATGCCAAATTCCGCATTCATCTCTTTCTGCCTCTGACAGTTTTAGTCTATGTGCTAGATCATTAGTTGCGTACCACTGTGTGGAGGGACGAATAAAAAGAGGCTCTGGATGAAAATTTGCTCTTGCCTCAGCTATCTTTTTACTTGCTCTTTCACTCAAACTTGGAAAGCCTTCAACCACCTAAAATGAAGCAATCGCTAATTAATAAGCAGTAAAAAAATAAATGTCATAAATATTAATGGTTACCTACATGAACAAAATATACCCTGGCCACGCAGAAAGCTTGATGGATAGCAAAAGGATGATTGTATCTATTTTTGCATGTACATGTATTTATTTATCAATCTATTCAAATTCCTTTGAGACGAGTAACAATCTTAAAACTCATTGCATGCAAATGCCATCATAAAATCATTAAAAAATGAGGTTCTCCACCAACGGAATGCTGTATTCTAATTGTGAATATGTTAGTCCGGTTCAAACGATCCAACCTGGACCGGCCTTGATTTATCAAAGGCGGAGCAGAGGTTCCACCCTAGTCAATGCCGCCCACTTTTTGGGTGGGGTCCAGCAACCAAATTAATGAGAGATTATGAGGGAAATTTCAAATTGAGGGATTGTTTTGGAATTGGAGAGAATTTTCACATGTTTTAGTAGGATTGTTTGCTAGGGTTTGGGGGCTATCGATTGTTTGACTGAGTTTTGTTTTTCCTAAGGAGAAAGAGGAACTCTAGTGGGCGGCTAGGGTTTGGAAGAGCCAGATCTTCCACTCAAATTGAAGATCCTATTGTTTATTGCTTTACTCTTCATTAATTTTTTCAATAAAAAATTTACTTTTTGGGTGTTCTTCTTCCCAATCCTCGTGTTCATCCGCAGATTATTGTGAAAAGTGCATCTACTTTAGGAGGCTCGTACAGGATAACCACTACTTTCTTCGCTCCCAAGGGACCAGCACCGGGAAGCCTTTGTAAGGCCCCAAAGGAGAAGTCGGTAAGAGGGAGATTTTGGAGAAATTTCAAGAAGTTTACTGAAAAGAAGCTGCAGGAGAAGAGGGCAAAGGGATTGTGTATTAGATGTGATGAGAGATACACATCGGGCACATGTGTAAGGATTGAACTCTTCAGGTTCTTACCATCTGTGATGATGAGGAAGCTAAGGAGGGTGGTGGGAGCAAGGCAATGGTAGAAGAGGAAGGAGAACTGCGTCTTGACATGGCAGGAGATCTCCTTAAATTTCAGTGATGGGATTCACTCCAAATCACACCATAAAATGAAAGAAGAAATAGCATATAGGGAGGTGATGGTGTTTATAAACAATGGGGCTGCCCATAATTCTATCTCCAAGTAGGTCGTTGACCAATTGGGGGTCAATTTGGTGGACACAAGGAAATATGGGATGATGATAGACATTGAAAAGGTGGAGACGGGTAGAGGAGTGTGTAAAGGAGTGGTTATGAGCATACAAGGGGTCCAGATGAGGGAGGATTTCCTACCCTTGGAGTTGGGAATCACTGATTTTATTCTAGGGATGAAATAACTACAAACCTTAGGGGATACCAAGGTTAATTGGGGAGCACTAACAATGGAGTTGATAGTGGAGGGAAGGAAAATGATGATCAGGGGTGATGTAGAGTTATCAAAAGCCTGATGTCGCTCATAAAAATGGCGAGGACTTTACATGAGGTGGGAGGAGGATTTATGGTGGATTTGCAGAGCTTAGAGGGGGGTCAAATTGGAGGAAGAGGAAGACATTACTTCTTTATTCGAGCGCTTATACAACAATTTAGTGAGATTTTTCAACCACCTGAAGGATTGCCACCACCAAGAGAGTAGGAGCATGTCATCACCTTAAGAGATGGGGTGTCACAAATTAGTGTTAAGCCATACCGTTACCCTCGTATTCAGAAGGATTAGATTGAAAAGCTGATCTGAGTAATGTTTGAGACAAGAATCATTAGACCGAGTGTGTCCTTTAAATAACCCATTCCTACTGGTCAAGAATAACAATGGGAGATGGAGATTCTACATGGACTATCGAGCCCTGAATAAAGAGATTGTGCCAAACAAGTTTTCCATTCTAGTGATAGATGAGCGGTTGGATGAGCTGTCTGGAGCAATGGTGCTCACAAAGACGAATTTAAAGTCAAGGTACCATCAAATCCGAATGAGAGAGGTGGATGTCATGAAGACAGTGATCATGACACGTGAGGGACTCAACGAGTTCTTAGTGATGTCATTTGGCCTCACCAACGCCTCTGCTACTTTCCAGTCCCTCATGAATAGGGTGTTCCGACCAAACCTCCAAAAGTTCGTATTGGTTTTCTTTTATGACATACTGGTGTACAGCAGGTCGATGGAAGAGCATTTGGAGCACTTGAGGGTGATCTTAGAAATATTATATGAACATCAGCAGAGGGCCAATTCGAACAAGTTTTGCTTTGCACATGCCAGTATGGGCACATGGTAACTCAGGAGGGGTGGTTGCAAATCAGGCCAAGATTGAGCTAATGCAAAAAATGGCCTCTACTTAGGAATCAGAGATAGCTGAAAGGGATACGATAGGGAGAGGGTGAGTTCAAGGAATAGCTGATAAAGTGGAAGAACCTACCTGACTATGATGCGACATGAGAGCCATATGAGCGAGTGAAGCATCAGTTTTCGTCTTTTCATCTTAAGGACAAGGTGGATCTTTGGGAGGGGAGTATTGTTAGACCGGTCCAGCCAGTTCATCCTTGACCATCCTTAGTTTACCAGATGCAAAATAGAGATTCTACCCCAGTCAATGCCACCCCTTATGGGGGTAGGGTCCAGTAGCCAAATTAATGAGAAATTAAAGAGAGATTATGAGGGAAATTTCAAATTGAGGGGCTATTTAGGATTTGGGGAGACTTTTTGTATGTTATAGTATGATTGTTTGCTAGGGTTTGGGGGCTATCAAATGTCTGGTAGAGTTTTGTTTTTCCTAAGGAGAGAGAGACTCTAATGGGCGGCTAAAGTTTGAGAGAGCAGGATCTTCCTCTCAAATTGAAGATTCAATTGTATCTTGCTTTTTTGCATCAATAAAAAATTGCTTTTTGGTTGTTCTTCCCAATCCTTGCGTTCATCTGCTGATTTTTGTGAAAAATACATCTATTTCCGATCAGAATATAAAGGCAATTACAAATATTAAACAATGCCTTGGGAGTGGCTTGCCTTGATTGGACTTGGTTTTTGTGATGAAAATTTGAAATGGGGGATTAGAAATTAGATTAGATGAAATAATTGTAAGAGCTTCAAATTCACAAATAGAAAATATTGAAGATAATCAGATAAAGAGGATGAGCCCAACTATGATATGGAGGCTACAAATCAACAGTGAGACAAAGAAGAATGCATGAAAATGAAGGAATAAAAATTAGTGAGCTTTAGATTATTCCTAAGATATGAATGCTAATAACTTTAAGTTGTTTAAATATTGAAGTTATTTAAACACTTTTCCCTCAAATATGTGCAATTGACATTTGATTAAAATAAAATTTTTAAGTTGAACCTTTTGAAATAAAAAAAGCTATATTTGGCTACCTAAGTACCCCAAAAAACAGGGCTTAAGCAAAGCATAGTTAAAAATAAAAAACATAATAATAACTAAAGAAAATTGGTACAAAGCAAATAGCAAAAATAATGAATAACCAACAGGAAAAAGAGTACTAAAAAATATAATGTATCAAAATCTAAAGATCAAGCAACCATGTGGTACTTTTTTTGAGCTCCGTTAAAAAGCAAGAATGGGTTGAGAGCATATAGTCTTGTAAATCCTTGATGCATTTGTATGTCCTAAATCAAAATCATCCTTAATGCAAAAATTATAAATCATGGACATATTAAATCAAAGAATATGGTTATATACCTTCATCAACCTTTTTTCTTTATGAACTACTAATGATTTATGAGATTTAATAAAAAGCTTAGGGATTGTCACTACTTAATTTTCTTATATTTTTCGTAGCTGATTATCATTCTAGTGTATGTTAGCAAAATCAATATATGAATATGTATCAATCTCAGCCAATACAAAGCCTATTTGAGAGAGAAAGGGGAGTTAAAACAATAGAAGTTTCAACCACACCAACACCAACCAATAACTACCTCAGGAAGACTTAAAAGAAAAGCCAAAGTCTGATTACTGCTCAAATAATTTACAACTATCACAGAAGGATGCTTTTGAGAGAAAAAAATGTGTTTTTCGACTTGGGCAGAGATAATAATGTGAAAAAAATAGCATTAGTATATCCTAAAAAATAGGCTTGTGAGCATTGTAAGCCTTATTTGTGATATGAGTAAGAGCGGGAAGGGATCGTTAGTCACATCAAAAACAATGTTTGTGGCCCTAGAGATTAGTTTGAAACCACCACAAGATTATTGACTAACATTTATGAATTGATTATTTGACTGGAAAATTATAGGAAGGTACTAAATCAAATTTCTTGCATTGGAGCATGGAAGGCCCAATTTTTCTTAGCTATGGATAAGCAACAAAAAGATCAAAAAACTCATATCCAAACATAAGACATTTACTGAAATAGGTAGGAAATCTTTTAAAATCAATGTCTAGCAAGTAGCCCTTAGAGTACAACATCAACAAACTTTTATCCCAACATGTGGGGTTAGCTAAATGAATGCTTTTTTTTTCATTTTGTCCTATTAAGAGTTAAATTCTCATTTAAATGTAATAAACAAAAATCATTTTTAACACTTTCAAACAAGTCTTTTCAAGTATATCTCTATCTTTCTTAATATAGCCGTGAGAGTAATGGTAAATAAAATATTCTCAATCAACAGGCTCTATGACAACCATGTCAACATAGGAGAGAGTGACCTAAGCAATCACCAAGTCGACAAGTAAAGGTTTACCAAATATTGATCCTAAAGATAACAAAGTGGGAAGGTTCATGAAATGAATTCGTAAGAAAGGAGTAATAGGTGGTCGCTCTTCCTTTTGAAATATGCATAAAGCAGCCATGAGAATAATTTGGTATAATCTTCTTCAAATGAATTGCACAAAAAATGTGGCAAGCATCAAAATGCAAATTCCCTTTTGAAATACGCATAAAGCAGCCATGAGAATAATTAGGTATAATCTTCTTCAAATGATATGCACAAAAAATGTGGCAAGCATCAATGAGACCAAGAGAATAATTGCCCAATAAACCCAAATATATGTAGACAATAAGAATGACATCAAGCTTAGGTCAACTACATGCAAAGTTTCTAACTAATGACTGGTCGTAAAGAAAACAATTTTCCTCTTTTAAATAAATTAAAGATTTTTTCCAGCAAATTTTCCAAAAAAAGTGATGACTGAACTTTGAAACTAAGATTAGAGTTTTGAGGCTTACATGCCAATGTTTGAGAATATCATTTTAATTCTTAAGAAAGTTTTGGGAGCTCCAAATCGAACACCTGATGGTTGACTATGAAGAAATGGATCGACATTTCAACTGATTGAGGTGTAGGACTTTAATGGTAGGTCCTCCAAAGTGTCAATATCAAGTAAACTATGAGTAACCAAGGCTCCATATAAAGGAGAAACTTAAGTGCTGACAACAGGAGAGGATCTAGACGTGACATCCCATAAGTCTAAGGCAAAGAAAAGGGAGGAAGTCAAGATTCAAAGAGTAGGAGCAGGGAACAGACAGGGTCAGCTAGAGAAAGGATAAAGGTAGCCAACATTTGTGATAATGTGCCTATGGCTTTTCCAAGAGGGAGAAAGTCGCTCTAAAGATATCTTTCTATCTTTTTGATGAATTTGTGGTATAAGGAGGGGCCTTGGAACCATATTCAAAGGAGGACTGGAGGTCAGAACACAAGGAGAAAGTTTTATACATGTTTTTAAGAAGTTTGCTTAAGATTATCTCTATAAAATATTTTGGATCGTGCAATTTAATGCAATTATAAAATCATTATTTTTCCTAATATATTAAAATGTACTACTAATCATGCAATGCACCCCCATAATTCTAATAAGTTTAAGAAAGGAAATAGCTATATATTTTCAGTACCTCACTTTGCTTTAGTAATTGCCTAAGATGGCACCTAGCAACTTCAGCATTGGGCAACCACATTGACTTGAGAACACCTTGAATTTTTAATGAAGCCAATGAAAATTAGTGACGTTGCTTTCTTTTCAGGGAAAATTAAACAAATAAATTATATAAAGTATAATTGATCATAACAAGAACTAGCCATTAATCAACCTTTCAAATTAGTAAGCAAAATTTAGCGTGTCCTCGCATTATTTTCCATAGTGATTAAACAAACAGGCAAGATAACTAATATCTGATTGTCAATTACCAGTCATTGATCAGCTATCCAAACCATACCACAATTCCTAATGAATATGAAAACAAGTTGTACCTGCTTAAATGATTAGAGTAGTAGTTGGTTATTTTAATGTAATGCTTATAATTGTATACACTACAAAAATTCCCTCACAATAATAACAAGTTTATGAAGTGAAATGGCTATCTCTTTTAAGCACCAACTTTGCTTGAGTGAGGACACAAGATGCTACCTAGCGACTTGAGGGAAACCATATTGCCTTTTTGCACTTTTAAATGTAATTACGTAAGCAAGATCACTGATGCTTGATTATCAATTACTGGTTTTCAATCAACCATCCAAACCCTAGTACAACCCCTAATGAATAGAAATAAAGTAGTTTCAACAGCTGAAATGGTGACAATAGTAGCTTCCTATCATTGGACAAGTGGTCCATCATCAAATCGTTTGCTTGAATTACAACCTTTCAGGTTGCAAATTTGACTAAGGTATTTTAAATTATAAAATTTAGGCATAGTTTAAATTATTAAAATTTACTCATCAACTAAAAACAAAAACTAGTATGGAAATGATGACAACCCTTCGTGAGATATCAAAAAAATAACTTGGGGTTCCAAAAGCAAACATTAGCAGGGGACAAGCAAACGTTTTTCTCCACCCCTACCCTATCCTCATATTCTTTTAGGAGCTGCTTGGTTAGCTAAAAAAGAAACGCAAAATAAAATGGAATGCAGTGCAAAAAGACTGTAATTTAAAATGTTTGGAGTTGTCTGGAAGAGTTTAAAGTAAATGCAGGTGATTTTTTTATTGAAGTGAAATGAATGCAATGCAAAAGCTTATGATAGATGTTGATGATCGGCGGGTAGTGGTGCTGGTGAGCAGTGGTGTTCTGCAACGATAGGTGGTGGTTATAGCAGCCAACAACCAACAGTGACGATCGTTGGTGGCCAACAGCAGAGACCAACAATGGTGGCTAGTGACAGGTGGAGATGGCCAATAATGGCAGTAGTGGGTTGTTGAGGTAGTTGGTAGCGGCTAATGAAAATGAAAGAATTTACGGTGTATTTGGAAATCATCCAAATATAACAAATTTTAAATACATCAAAATTACAAAACATGATGCATTCTAAATACGCCAAAATTTTACTCTGCATTTCTTTTACATCAAACTAAACATAGATATTTTCAAAATCCCTACATTTGTGATAATTTGCTCATATTTTACTTTAACCAAATAGTCCCTAATGGTTGGATGCGACAATAACTTTTAGCTCTTTCTCAATGCTTGCTATCAAGCTATGCATATTGGTTAACCGAAACTCAGCCTAAGGCGCAAAGGTGAACGAGATGATAAAAACTCAACAGATCTGAACTTCTACTAAACTAGAATAAAACAAACATCATGTCACAATGGATAAAAAGGGAAATAAAAAGTTTACATTACCAAAAAAATTTTAAAAGTGAAAATAAATATTAGTTCACAGAAACAAAGAATTTCTACCTGGAATCTAGAAGATTCATCTTTTGAAAGAATTTCTGGAGCTATAAGTGAAAGAACATTGAAGCATTCAGGGTTTTTTATTTCATCAACATATATTCTGGATCCAAAAGTTTTCGACACCTGAACAAGTATATCTTCCTGACCAAGCATATCACAAGCAAGATACACTTCTAATGCATTTGGGTGCTTCCATATGCAGTTTATTACCTAAGTGTAGTCATCAAGTTAAATTTACTTTAATGAAAGGAAAATAATATAAAGGAGATATCAGCCGGTTACATATAAAATGATCACAAAAATTAAACATCATAAACCTGTTGGATGGCTAATTTCTTGCTTGGAATCTCAATAGAGCATCTGCCAAAAGTACAGTCAAGAAATATATAGTCGAGGTTGCAATCTCTCCCATTCTTATTGGCATACTTCAGAGGAAAATTTTGCAGGCACTCAGGGTCTAACCTACAATCCCCAGTATGCAGAATATTACCAAATCCACCTTCAAACAAGAACATAACAGCACCTGATAAGGCATCCCAGAAGAAAAAATCAGCAACTTTCTATTCTTTACCAAAATTTTTAAGATAATACTTTTGCCCAGAAGTAACTCCTATCTCAGTAAAAAGATTCTCACAAAGAAATCACAGATTGAAAGAAGTTATATAAATTATTGAACAATTTATATAGAGATGACTAATCAGATTTCTTGCTCATTTAAATCTATAAGGACGCTACCCTTCCCTCTACGAACAAGCTCAACGATTACAGTAGAAAGAAAATCAATCCACTTAATAAGAGAAAAAGATAAATCCTAATTAGCACAGCGACCAGATAACAAAGAAAATGACGAAATCGAATAAAATTGAAACATGGTAGCTCTTCGGTTACCTGTTTCATGAAGTGCATTGCTTTTAGACTGAAGTGGCATCTAAACTTTACCATATGCAATCAATTGCAGTTTATAAATTTCATTAATTATTGAATGCAAATATTGCAGCTTGAATAATTGATAATAACCGTAACAATTTTTCTAATACCTTTAACCATAGAGATGGCTGAATCGTCCGATTAAATTAACATTTGAAATGCTGAAAAAAAAAAACATATTGCATTTCGCTCTAAACTAAACAGCCAGACAATCCAAAGAGAATCCGAAACAACTAGTAAAAAGAGATGGCTGAGTAGTCCAATTAAATTAACATCTGAAAAGCTGCATATTGAAGAAATCAAACACGGTACATAGAGGGGAAAAAACATATTGCATTAGATCTAAACCAAACAGCCAAAAAATCCCAATAGAATCCCAAACAATAGAGGCAAATACCCGGGCAGTGATTCGCGTCAAAAGCACGCACCGAGAAATCCCCATCTGGATCTTTGACTACCAATAGTTCACCCAACTCAATCTCCAAAAACAGGGAATCATCAAGCTGAAAACGTAGACAACAATCGATTTCATCGGAGAATTAGCAAGAAGTTGGATATTTAAATATAAAAAAATCACAAGGACAAGGACGCAAGAGATAATTCTCAATCACCTCCGGAAATTGGTGGCACACTAGGGTTTTTGTGAGGCGAGTGCAGTAAATGGGGAAAGAGCATAAAGCGGCAATTCCCGATAGGTGATCTTTGTGGGCGTGCGTGAGGAAATGGTGACGCTTCTGCTTAGAGGCGTGGCTCCACGTATCGACGGAGAAAGGAAGCCCTCGCGGCGTCTCGATAGGCATCTACCCTTCTCCGCCTTTTCCCTGCCTTTCTACTTCTTCGTCTCCTATATGCAAAGGACGCACTTTGTTTCTTCTCCTGGAAGGATCTTTAAAAACGAAATAGAAAAAAATCCTTTAAAAAAAGAGGAGGGAACCTTTCGAAATTCCGACCTTCCCACACTGTTCGTTTTAATTTGCGCAATTGACTTGTCTTTCCAAGCGTGTATTAAATCTAGATGTTTATTTATAATGAAATATTTACTAACACAATGGTATAACTCGACAACTAAACAGTTTACCAATTAAATATTTTGATTAGATTAAAGTAACTTTTTATGATTTTAAATATTTAAAAAGTGCTTAAATATATATTATTTGTGCTACTATTATAAAAATGATGATGTTGCATCCTGGAATATTCACAGTGACAGAGAAATATATAGTTTAACATCTTAGCTTTGCACAAAAATCCAGCACACAATCAGATAAAATAGATGATGCAACATTTTTAAGAGACCATGATTTGTACGTGGAAACCCCTTAAAAGAAAAAAAATCACGGGGCATGACCCAGTTTGAATGAATCAACTAATTTTTGTTGAGTATTACAAATGAGGCCCTTCCTTGGGGGGAGAAGGGCATGGCTTGATGTAATAAATATATATCATATGGAGTTCATTACGTGGTGGGAATATGAATAATCACTATTGACTTGTTTGTATGAATGGAAGGACCAAAGTCGGTAGACGATGGAGATCGAAAAGATTGTAGTCAGGTGATGGTGATTGAAAGGACCGCAATCAGCAAGCGACGGAGGTTGGAAATACCGTTGTACGACGACGGATGTTGGAAAGACTGTAGTCAGCGACGGAGGTCGAAATGATTGTTGCCTAGCTATCGAGGTTAAAAAAAGCCGTAGTCAATGGGCGATGGAGGTCGGAATGACCATATTCGTCGAGTGACAGAGGTTAGAAAGACCATTGTCTAACGATAGATGTCGGAAACACCATAGTAAGTAAAGGAGGTTGGAAGGACCTTTGTCGATTGACGACGGAGGTTCCACAAAGGTTGGAAAATGTGAAATTCCTTAAGTGAAAGAATTTAAAGTTGTAAATATCGAGACACCTTGTGGTGTAATGGTGGCTCTTAGGCCAAAGGGGATAATAACTTGATAGTTAAGAGTTTGTGCTCTTATAGAAAATATTGTAGGCTGGAGATAGAGGTTGCAAGGACCGTTGTCGGGTGGAAGTCAAATAATAATTGGAAGACATGTGGAAGTCTGGCGTTAATTGGTGGTCGAGAGTAATTCCGGTAACAGTTGCATGCCGGGCGGAGGTCCAACAAAAGTCCTACAACAGTTGGTAGCCAGGAGAAAGTCCGACGAAAGTCGGTGGCCGAGCAGAAGTTTTGCATCCTTCGGTGGCCAGGTGGAATTCCGACGGCTAGAAAAGACTGGCATCGGGCAGAAGTCCAGAGTTGGCCAGAAGTCTAGCGTCGGGCAGATGTCCAGTGTCAAGAAGAATACCGGCGTCCGACGGTGGCCGAGTAGAAGTTCGACAACTGGTGGAAGTCCGGCGTCAAGTAGAAATCCAACAACAAATGGATGTCCGGTGTTGAATAGAAGTCTAACATCAAGAAGTAGTCCGACGAATTGTCCGGCAACAAGCAGAAGTCTTACGTCGGGTAGAAGTATGGCGTCTGATAGAAATCTGAAGTTAACTTTAGGAAAGGCAATGACTTCGTCTTGAGTTTGCATAAATGAAATGGAAAGATCATGGGAGGAGAAGTTAGTAGGGTTAACAATATTTGTTCAATCTAACAACAAGCTCAAAAGAGCCGCTAATGATTGAAAGGGAGGAAAGTCAGAGAGTGGATAGAGGAGAACCCCCCCCCCCCCCCGAGGAGACGGGCAACTAAGAGGATGAAAAGCAAGATTGGTGCGCACGAGGGAAAGGGAAACCCTAGCACTGCATCTTCTAGGCAACTCATGCCAAAAAATTTTTCACAGCAAACTTTTTGGCAATCTATGATTCTACTCATGTAAAATCTTAATTTTCATTTTTATTAGAACAAAATGTTAATATCATTCATTCTATCTCTACTCTTTTGTTTCTAAATGTCCATTAAAATTTATTTGCCCCATTAGGATTTCTCTTCTAATTAATAAACTCTTCACTTCTTTGCCCCTATTGGATTTCTTCTTTCGTTTATTAACCTCCCCACACTTTAATATTTTATCTCAATTTCAATCTCCAGCTTTCAATTTATTTGACAGATTTAATTTATATTGTTTGATTTGCTATTGATTTATCGAGAAATTATTGTGTGCGGAATCCGAATGCATTCGGATTCCAATCACAGCTTACCACATCAGTGGATGCACTCCGGGCCCAGTGCATCCAGTGATATGGTGCATGGTGATTGGAATCCGAATGCACACACAATAATCTTTTCTCCGATTTATCACCCCTACTCCAACAAAAAGCTCTTAAAACCCTTCAAATTCCTTCGCCTCTCCAAAAGGCGACCTTGCATCTTGAATTCCTCGACTTCTTCCATATAATTTCCCCATTCAAAATATCTAAAAACCACTACGAATTCCACTGTCTATCTATTACTTCACCTATACGCATTCAGTTGTGTCCATCACCTCAACCTTGAATTCATCTTTGATGGTGGCAATCCAGTCAACATGCAACACAAGAAGCCTGCAATAAGATACGCAAGACCGATGAACTTGTTTATTTCTTTACCATAAATCTTTTACCCATTTAACAAATCTCAATTGCAACTTTCTCTGAAATCTTTCATAATTAGCCCATTCATTCCCAGGTGGAGTTTCTCAGAACTATTTAATGGGCTGCTAAATGAAGACTACTAGAATTATTTTTCACTAATGCATTCTCGTCATTCTTTTTTTAAAGGGAGATTTACATACATACCACTTTATACTACTCTATTTATATATTTAACACTTAAAACTTTAATATTACAAGAATACGGTCTCCCGGTCTTCTACTGAATCCGAATACAGAGCCTTAGCCTCAGCTACCGCTGACACCATCTGGATCAAACGTTTGCTGGCTGAGTTTCGGATTGGTCATTCTGAACCAGTGGATGTATTCTGTGATAACACATCTACAATCGCTCTTGCTAATAATCCCGTCTTCCACGCTCGCACCAAGCACATTGAGATTGATCAGCGTTTTATACGCGATCACATTATCAACAAGGTCATTCGTTTACTCCCAATCAGCACAGTGGATCAAGTTGCAGATATTCTTACAAAATCTTTGTCTACCCCTCGGTTTAAATTTCTTCGTAGCAAACTGACCATCTGCTCCTATACTCAGTTTGAGGGGGGATGTTAAGAACAAAGTATACATTACTCTACTGTCATCCAATAACCTGTGTACACGTGTCCTGCATAACATCACTTAGATGCTATAAATATGTATACAGGGAATGCTGTAATATATGAAAAACATAATAATACATTTCTCTTTATTCTTCTTTTACTGTCTTGCTTCTTCTCAGTATATACAATTCTACACTCCCCACACTTTAATATTTAATCTCAATTTAAATCTCCAGCTTTCAATTTATTTGACAGATTTAATTTATATTGTTTGATTTGCTTTCGATTTATCGCCCCCACACCAACGAAAAGCTCTTAAAACCCTTCAAATTCCACTGTGTATCTATTACTTAACCTATACGCATTCAGTTGTGTCCATCACCTCAACCTTGAATTCATCTTTGATGATGGTAATCCAGTCAAGAACACAAGAAGCCTGCAATAAGATATGCAAGACCGATGAACTTGTTTATTTCTTTACCATAAATCTTTTACCCATCTAACAATCTCAATTGCAACTTTCTCTGAAATCTTTCATAATTAGCCCATTCATTCCTAGGTGGAGTTTCTCAGAACTATTTAATGGGCTGCTAAATGAAGACTACTAGAATTATTTTTCACTAATGCATTCTCGTCATTCTTTTTTTAAATCTCCAACAATACCTGAATACAATCACAAGGAAACAGCAAATTGTAGAATTGAAATCTTCAAATCTAAAATGAGCAAGTATGGCAATCAATCATGATTAAGCTAAGACAAGGACTAACTTATAAAATTTATTTTAATTTTTTGTGTACTAATTTAATGCCTACATATCAAATACATGATCGAATTTGTAGGAATAGAGTAGATATGATAGTTTTTTTTTTTTTTTGAAGAGATCTAATTCTTTTTTTGACTGAGCTTTCTATACAATACGATGAATGTTTAATGATGTAATATCATCTCGGTCTTAGACTTCGCTTCGGACGGCTGTCTTACCGCTTTTTAAAGTAGCTTTCTAGTACCAAAATTTTTTTTTTTTACTTAAAAGCTGGTTTAAGAAGCGGTAAAAAAGCCATCTCAAATGAAGTCTTAATGCTACTTTGAAAAGTACTTTCCTATCATTCACATATAGGTTTGATTTGGTTTCTTATGTGTTACTTCCTTTTCCTTTGAGGCATTTTCAAAAAAAAAAAAAAAAGAAAAGAAATATGATAACAAACTTATATTGTTTCATTTCAATGTTTATTGATCACCAAATATCATGTTTATTAAAACATTTAGATATTTGTTACAACATTTAGATCAACAAGATTAATAGTAATTTAGAATTTGATAACTTCTTTTAGTCTTCATTTAAATTTTTAGGTTATTTGTGTCCAAGATTCAAAATGAAACCTTTATTGAGAAAGAAACTATATTAGCCAATGCAATTGATTTTATAATATCTTTTCTTTTCTAGAGTATAAATCTCATATTTAAAACCCACATACAATTTTCGGTTGATGAAATTCTATTAAAGTTTTCTATTGTTTGTAATTCTTACCCTACATGAAAGTTGCATATTTTTTGAAGAGATTTTGATTGAAATTTGGCCATATTATGCTGCAAATTATATTTATTTATGGATTTACGTTCGATGGTAAAAGACATGTAGGAAATAATTTTTGACAAAATTAGATCAATAAAAAATATTTTTTGGAGAATCTCAATAAAAAAGCTGAAGCAAATACTAGCAGATAAAAAAACATCACAATAAGATTTATGATCGCATTTTCTGGTGGAAATTATCTCGAAAGTTGCATGGTATTCAAGCTGCTAGAATTTCTTGTGC